CTTTTTTAAGACCATGTAAAACAGCACTAAAAAAAACTGCAGTTGCAACATCACCTTTGACATGACAGAGCATGAGCATAATTAATATTGCATACAAATATAATCTTGAAGTTTTGAATAACAAGCTCACTGCTTAATTGTTCTGAAAATGATAGGGTATGTTTCCTTTAGGCCAAATCACCGAGAATTTTTTTAATTGCCCTTTAATAGAAATCATACTGTATTTTTAGTCTAGAGAAAACAGAGTCTGTGGGAACCACCCTCTCCCACCCATGTCTTGGCAGTGGGAACTGATGTCCCAGATCAAGACTATTTACTGATCCCCATGGCAACAAGATGATTTATCTTGCACAAATTCTAATATCATAAGGACTCAATGGTTTTTTAGTATGGTATCTCAACCCTAAAATAACAATCTTGATGTAAAATATAAAGGCTTTAAATAGAACAATGTTTTTATTTTTTTAATGAAATATTGCTATAATGCAAGAAAGTCTTATGTCCCCTCTTCACCAGATTTTCATTTTGGAATAAATCCTCTGCCATGTCTGAGTAAAGACACTGGCCCTTTCAAAGATGTGATTGAGCTAAAGTTGTGCCTTTGAATTTGTTACTTGGCACAGCATTAAGTGGAGTGTAGCAATGTTGGGGCTGGGACTTTGAATGATGTCCCTACATACGTGTAGCAAAACTCCGTGGAGACACTGCCCAGGTGTACGGGTAGCCTAGGTTTAACAACCATTATCCTCTTGTTTTCCAGGCTTGCAACAAGAAATTAAATTCCTAAAAGCTTCTTCTACAGTGAGAACTGGTCGCTTTCCAGGCAGCTAGATGTATTAAAGGACACTGGCTAAGATTCCAGATAAGAACACAAAAGATTGAGTTATATCCGTAAGTTGCTTTGGGGTCCTCAAAAGAAAAATGCTGTATGAATACCAACAAATGATATTGTTATTTTGTCTTATGGTCAGACCTGACACTTTTCAAACCTACAGGATTACACACATATTTTAATAAAATTAGTGTTCCACAGAATGTCCTTCCATACAAATACATCACAATTTTTGTTTGATAGAGTGTAGGTGGTAGTAGAGATATTCTTCTTCCCTTGACAGCCTCCCCTCCAATGTTTCAAATGCATTAACACTCAGCGGGTGAAATTGAAATACTTTTTATACTTCAGAACCATTCCCTTATAAGATCTCAAAATGATTGTTAAATCAGGGTCGAGTGAGCTACAACTGGATGTGTCATTGATTGATTTCTTTTTTAGTAGAGATTTAACATTTCTATGCATTTTAACACCCTCTTTTGGTAATGAAAGCATTGGGAGCCAACTCTTTTTCTGTTCTCTCTTGAAGGCCTGCTGTTCTTTCTCATTTTTCAAGTGCTCCATGAACAAATAAAGTAACTCGGCATTGTCGTTAAGAGGAGTGTTTCAATACTCTGGACCCACCGATTGTGCTCTGAATAATTTGCCTCTGTCCTTTGCATTACAAAGGCAACCAGATGAAAAAAAGTGTTGTACATCCAAGTAGAGTCAGAACAGTTCCAACCAGTGTAAAGCCTGCCCAGGCTCCAGCTTGCCTCCCAGGGTTCTAAAATAAGTGCCCTTTTTTCCCCAACTGAAATTGTCTAGTGAGACTGCTAGTTGGGAAGGATTGGATAAAGAAAGCAAATAAATTTTAATCTCACTGAGGTCAAAAACTTCATCTTATTCATGTCTGTATTCCATGTGGTAACTGGCCCTATCAGTGCCTTACGTAGTGATAGGAACCAAAGAAGAAAAGGAAAACAGGAAAGATTTCTGAATCATCAAATGGCCTTTTTTGTAATATAAATAGAAAGGTTTTTATTTTTAAAAAATTATATTTTATATAAAATATATATTTACTTATATAGTTTATATTTTTATTTATATTTAATATTTTATACTTATTATATAATATATTTATATATTTTGTGTATATTTTAAAAAATTATATTGATAAAGAAATCCTAAACAAAGCACAAAGCATAAGCTTGGGACTATTGCTTACATAGTTATGTCTGTCTTTACGTGTTTGTGATATGTGCGTGTGATATATGAAGCACGACTACGTCAATGCAAATAATCCATAATCAATCTATAAATCAAAATCGGGGTGAGTTTATTATATGAGCCAGCTTTGAGGACGATAGCCCAGGGTCTTCCTTCCCCAAGGAAGGAAGTCCTCTAAAGAAGTGGCGTGTACAGAGTGGTTATAAACTGTCTTGGAAAAAAGAATATACATCACATATGACAGGAATATCTCTTTTACGAGATGCTTTGCTGGCATAGCAGGTCTGTGGTCATGAGGTAAACATAGCAGATCAAAGGTCATGAGATGAGCACCATAGGCCAGTAATTAATCCTTAGTTTCTAGGAAGAAATGCTTGTCCTCAAAGAAATGCTAATTTGGGAGGAGGCAACATCCCTATCTTTGAGGGCATTATTCTTGGTTTTGGGACATTGTAAATGTTTAAAACTGATGTAAACATAAAATGCACGCTCAACAGGCCACGCCAGGCCTTTCTGGAAAATAAAGTCAGGCTGAATTAGTTTTAAACGAAGTGGCTTCCTCATATACTCCAATATATCCTATTGATTTCCATTATTTCATCAACTACAAAATAACGAGGCTTAAAAAACACATGTTTTGGACAGTATATTTGTGTTGTAGTGAAGTTTAATTAAATAAGGTATGCTAAAGTGCTTCACAAACTCCTAAAGTGGTATCCAAATATGAAACGTTACAATTACAGATTGTTCAACAACAAATATTTATTGAGCGGCTTCTATGGTCTATATCAATAAAACAATAACATTGGTGGTCACCAGGAAGAATGAAACAACTTTCATTCATTCATTCATTCATTCCTTATACAACTACAGGAAAGGGACAACAATTAATATAAGAATTGATGGCAGACTGTGGAGGCAATGTATATGAAAGACCACTTAATGATGAAGCATTCTTACCTGTCCAATATACAATTTGGCTTTGGAATATATTGTTTCTTTTTCTCTGAAACAGCCATTTTATCACTGTAATTTGACATCATGACAGCTCAGAAGCTGTCATTAAGAATAAGAATAAACTGAAGAACTTTTCCCCTCCTCCACAGACAGTATTTTAATCTGTGGATGCAGTGTGAAGGTGGCAGTAGAAGGAGACATGAAATAAGACAGGTTCTCAATAACTTCGTACCTGGAGTCACCATTGATTGTGTTTGCACTTATTCTCAGCTGTAATCAGTCTCACAGTTGGACAACACTTTTCATTCAAAATAAACCTTTAGTTCTCGATTGTTCCATATCAGGTTGCTGCCATTTCCAGCTGTTTCTTGATCAGAACACATTGCTGTAAGATTCACCTCTTTATGTCCTTAAAGCAGACACACAAGCACAGGAATACTTTGAAACATCTTATTACACCTACCAGTGTTATTTGACTCTGTAACAAGTTAAAAACAAATCACAATGACTAATGCTGTCATTGAAGAGCTGTAGTTTCCATTTACCTGTATCTGTGGATAAGAAATTTGTTGAGTTTTTTGGGCCAGAGATTCTTTCCTTCCATCTTGGTTAAAATCTTCTATGCAGGATACAAAGACTGAAGAACAGCAGAATGATTTACGGGACTTGTTTCCTTCAGAAAGGAGTCCCATTAAAGTAGCTTGTAGATAGTTATAAACTATCTTAAATAAGATAAGCTCTTGTTTTTAAAAATATATATCTCCGTGTAATGTCTGTGCATTTTTCTAAATGCTCATCATGACTTTTCCCTGTGTTAATGAATAGCTTAGGTGACATGTATAATAATTTATGGGCTTAGATGGCTATAATAAGTCTCCAGACATGGTTAGTTCCTAAGAAATGTTTAGTAACGTGCAATTTTTGCAAAGTCTCTTGATTTTTCTTTGGGACCAATACCCAGGTGTGTTTGGATAAATGTTTCCCTGCCTTTTCAGCCTCATCATCACCACTGAATTCTCTCAAGTTAGTATCCACCTTACTAACCTTGCTCCATCTGGTTCCAACTAGCCTGACAGGATGCCTCCTCACTCATCAGTGCATTTAAGTCACCCCTCCTCCCCCAAAAAAATGTTCCCTGGGGTCCAACTAGGGTGTTGAGAGAGAATGATATGGCATTCCAACTTTTTCTCTTCACTCGGTTGTCCAACAATTCCAACCCAAATACCTTGAAATTGCTTACCCTTATTTCAGCTCATCTCTTTGAGCTCTGCCTACTATAACTCAAAAAAAAAAAAAAAAAAAGCTTCTTCATTGTACTTTATTTTAGCATTAGTGTCTCTTCTCTGCCTGTTCTATAGAGATAAGTCTATGGGCATGATCATACTTAACTAGGCTGTCTACATAGGAAGCTAGAATAGACTTTAAATGATAGTCCACTATAATTAGTAAAACCTTTTAAGCAATGATTTTTTTTTATAGTCAGTATCTGGTGACAAATAATATTAATAATAGCAAAATCTGAGTGGATTAAGGAAAATATCAGTTTGCAAGTATTTCTTAAGGAATTTATTTATTTAGGAACAGAATACTATATTAGGTACTACAAACAAAATACTATATTAGGTACTACATAATAGGCTTGATTATTATCAAGTCAGGGATACTCTAATCCACTTAAAAAGAAGAATTTCCAGTTCCAATAGAGAATAAAAATAATTGAATACTGTTTTGTTTTGCTTTGTTTTTTAAATAAGACATAGAACTAAATTCTTAAATAATTATAAAATACTACACCCACCTTCTTGCTTTCTCCTAGAGAGAAGTCTTTGCATGACACATAAAGGCAAAGGAGTATCATTGGGCACCTGTGATGGGCTAGACACCTTGGAACCCACGAGGAATTTGGGACCAGTTCGGGTTTTCTCTTCTGTTGTTAAGGGGCTCATAAGTAGAAGCATATACAATCTCTTTGCAAAAAAACAAAACAAAATGTTTCTTGCAGACCATGGGACATGAGTTTGGAAAGAAATGGAGGCAAGAAAGCCTGTCATTTGCAATGTCACAGAAGAGTCAAATCAAACCCTGTGAAGAAAGCAAAAATGAGATGGATTTACCCAAGGTTATCTCCCTGATACCGCCAGCCCAGTTAGATCCAAATTTCCAATGATGACTCTGAAGCATAAGATCATGTAATCTGAAATACAAGGACATATAACACAAATAATGAAATATTTTAACAATGAAGACACCAAGTGAATTAAACATTCCTGATTTACAGGACTGTTAGAATTATTCAAGAGACCTCCTGGATGCAATCTGTTATGGTAAGTACCATGATTATGCTTTCCAATGCTCTGGGCAGAATTTAAAATGCAAGCGATCATATCAGCATGGCAGATCAATTTTTCTACTAGCTGAAGCCCCAGCACTTTCTTCTGACCAGTGATTACACACTACCCATCTCTCCTCTCTTCCTTCTTTTCCTCTAACATATTAAATTCCACAGTTACCTTAGAAAGTAAGATATCCCTTTAGGAACAAAGAAGACATTAAGTATTTTCTTCCAGAGGATGCCAAATGAGAACCCACCAACCTGCTTGCGTCTGTAAACATTTGCTTGTATGATTGCTCTAGCATTCTATTATCATCAAATCTCATCAAGTAGGAAAATTAAATCTGATTTTAAAAAAAGCAGTTTTGATAGCACCATATTTCCTCCATTTAACACACCCCAAATCAAAATGCTGAGGCTGCCACTTGAAGCCCTTTGGGTTTCCATTCTCCCCTTCTATCACCCTAAGCTTCAGCCAAAGTGGGCCAGCCCCTCACAATTAGCCAAACAGATTCTGTAGCATGTTGCTTCTCAGCTATTTCTCAAACTCTTCTGTCCACCTGGAATTTCTGCCTTCTCATTTACTCTTTATTCACTCCAGAACTCAGGACACATGTACTTGTTATATGATCTGTACCAATATCTGTGCCTACCTCAATCCTATCCCTGCTTCAAGAGTGAGGACTCTAATTCAGGCCATGCAATTATCCCATGAAATCTTCCTTTATCCTTTTGATCAAGAATAATTTATTCATCTATCCATTTAGTCATTTATTCAGTCAAATATTGTTTTGAACACTTATTGTATGCTAAGTCCTAATGATACAAGTACAAGTGAAATCTACTCCCTGACTTAATGGAACTTGAAGCCTCATTGAAAAGCAAACCAATAAAACAGTAATTACCCTACAATTCTAGAGTGGAATGGCAGATTGTACAAAGTGTGCCTCGAAAACATAAACCATACTGGAAGGGCCAACATCTTCTTCCCAGAGGAGAGCAGCTGATCTGAACTTTGAAATTCAAGAAAAGTTAGCTAAATAAAGAAGAGAATGAAGGATATTCTAGCCACAAAGAAAAGGCAAGAGGGAAATAGCATAATAAGTGTGAGGAAAACCAAAGTTTTCTAAGGGACAAGATTGCTCATGCACTGCAAGTCATTTGTAGTAAATTAAATGAAAGGACCTTGGTGGGCGAGTGATCAGAGATGAGCTTAAGATGTGAAAAACAAGTAGATCTTGAAACATGTTTGAGAATTAAGTTAAGAAATTTATACTTTATCCTAAACGTTTAGAGAAAGTATTGAAAATGCTGAGCAGGCAGCAGCAAGGTCAGAATTTGGTTTTGAATGACACCATCATCCACCCAAACACTTAAGCCAGAAATCTAAAAGGCAAACTTGCTACCACCTTCTCTCTCAGTCTCTCACATTTAGTCCACCAAGTCCTAGATTTCATTGTTAAATAAATGAAAATTCTTTCCATTCTGCTGCCACAATCTTAAACCAAGATCAAGGAAGATGTCTTCAGGAATTTTTCAAGAATATGCTAACTGGTCTCCTATATCTAGCATCTACATAATAGCATGAATGATATCATAAAAATGTAAACTCTGTCATGCTGTGTTTCTGCTTAAAATGTTTCATTGAAGTAATCCTAAAGAAGGTAATTAAAGAAGATCCTTCTGAGGACTTTATATCTAAGTTGAGACCCACAAGATTTACAGAAGCTAGCTATTCAAAGAACTAGAGAAAAATGAGAGTGGCATCATTAATAGAGTGAAAAGGCAACCCATGGAGTGGGAGAAGATATTTACAGGACAGAGCTTACGTACAGAATTAAAATAACATAACAATAAAAGGCACAAGTGGCAGCCCCTCCACAACAGAGAAGTGAAGAATACCAAGGAACACTAATCAAGTCCTGCTGTTGACTGAACTTTTGTTTCTACCCAAAATCCACACGTTGAAGCCCTAATTCCCAATGTGATAGTCTTTGGATGTGATGGGGCCTCTGAGAGGAATTAAGTTAGAAGAGGTCACAAGGATGGAGCCCTCATGATGGTATTGGTGCACTTATCAGACACTGAAGAGACCAAAGTTCTCACTCTCCATCACATGAAGATACAGAAAGAAGGTGGCTGTCTGTAAACCAGGAAGAGGGCCTTCACCAAGAACCCAACTATGCTGGCACCCTGATCTCAGACTTCCAGCCTCCAGAACTCCTGAACTTCCATAAATGTTTGTTGTTTAAGTCACTCAGTCTATGGTATTCTGTTGATACAGCCTGAACAAGTCTTAAGGAATATAGCAAGATCTCAGTTTGAGTTTATGTATGTATCAGTAACCAAGATACTCAATCTAAATAAAAGGATGAGGTACAGGAAGAAATAATGCCCAGTGTTAGGTAGACATTTTGTCATCAATTGATGATTTCAGTTCAATAAAAATATATAAAGATCAAAGTGGGGCTGCAGTTTTAAGAAAGGCTAGGCAGCATTCCTGTAGGTAGGGCTGTCTCCAGCCTGCTTCCTGGGGTACAGGTCTGGTTCCTGCTGAGGACAGAGATACAAGCAGCACTCAGTGGACTGAGTAGCTCATTGTTTTGGATTTGTGAAGCCTCCATCTGAGAATGCCACCAAAACTTAAGAGTTCCATTTCCTTCCAAACACTTCAGGGCTTGATCATAGAGTAGAAGAAAGTTACTTCAGGGTTTCACTAGCCAGTATGCTTCTAAGGTAGAAGACAACTTGTTTTATTAAAAATGAATGCAAGTATTGAAGACGTGATATTTTGTTAGAATCAGAGCAGACAGTCATGGAAAAACAGGTTATAATCTCACATATTATGTAAGAGGCTACATTTTAGACAACTCGTATTAATATACACCTTGTAATCTGATACTTCATTTGCCATTTTTTGCCCTGTCCCTAGCTGCAACTCTCATGTCTTTAATGACTATTTGCAGGTATTCCTGTCCTTGGGCTATCGATAAGAGCAATATATAGATGAGGCACTTTGTGCAGCCCTGCAAAACAAGGGGATGGTTATGCAGCCATCAATCTATGGAGATACCACAGCAGAGAGAAAGAAATGATTGAAAGTCATTCAGTCAATCTGGAGGAGAAGGAACTGACAAAAAACGCGTTGGTTAACAGGAGGGAAAATGAAAGTCAGAAGAAAAATCAAAGAGGAAGTTTGGGAGTTTATCACCATGAATGTTGATGCTCCCAGGGCCACTAGGGGCATGGGAAACCAGCTCTCTACCCTATGCTTGGATTTTTAAGAGATTGAGTCAAGTCAGAAAATTACTAGCCATGGAATTATATTAAACTCATACAGCTTTGCCAATAAAGCTATCTATCTCCATTAAATCAAAAAAAAAAAAAAAAACAAATAATACAAAAATACATTAATGAAAATTACAGCCTTAAAAGGTTAGTAGTCAATTTCTCCATTAGGTGAAAGAGAGATAATGATGGAATGATAGTCAATAATAAAGTAACCAAAACATTTACTAAGCTATACATCTGTATAAATAACAACAGCAAGCCCTTTCCTGCCTCCAGATTGCTCACTTGTCAGTTTAAAAAGACCCTCTGGCTCCTAGTAAATTCTAATCCCTTTTAACCTGTCATACGCTGCCCTTCATAATCTTGTACAACACTTATTAAATGTCCAACATCGTTCGTGTGCTAGATACAATAGTAAATAAGAGGTAGTCCCAGAACTCAAGGAATTCATGGTATAATTGAAGAGTCAATGTAGCACCATAAATTGTACAAAGAAGCATTAGCAAAGTTCAGTTGGAGAATGGATGGAGAATTCAAGGAAGGCTTCATGGAAGTGGTTTGTTGTTTGACCTTGAAGGATAAACAGCACTCTGAAAAGAAAAAGAACTCTAGGTGAAAATAAAAGCATGTACAATAGCTTAGTCATAGAGATTGTGACGTATGTGAGGTATGGTAAAGAGTTCATTAAAATTAGAGAAGAAGTTACAGAGGAGAGAGTGTAGAAGGTGCAACTGGACAGGACATCAATGAAGATTGAAGTGTATCTTATGATCACTTGGAAATCAGGCATGGTTTTAGCAGAATAATGAATATTGAGATTTGCTGTTGTTGATGATAGTTTCATTATAGATTTACATTTGAGGAACATAACTCAAATGAAAAACGAACCCATGTAGGAAAAGACTGGTATTAGGAAGATCAGATCAGAAGCTCTTTCCAGGGAAGAAATACTGCAAGTCATGAGAACAGCATTGGAAAGAAAGACTGGATTAGAGAGATATCTGAGGTGATCTTATGGAATTTGTGGTGACTTAAAATGCAGAATGAGTGGAAAAGGAACTAATTGTCACTAAACTTTCCAGCTTGAGAGACTGAATGGGTGGTACTCCTATTTATGAAGAGGAAATCAATACAAGGAAGAGTGTTTTGAGTGGGAGAGACCTAAGAAGTTCAGTTTTGGACATGGTGTTTGAGGTCACTGCAGTATATCCAAGAGGAAAGGTCAAACACATATTGGAAATACAGAGAGAGTACAGAAGAATGTGATGAAAAGAGATAGATATATGAAAATCAGTAGCTTATGCATTATAGTTGTGATCACGGAAATTGTTGAAATAACTCAGAAATACTGGAGAAAAAAGAAGAAGAGATAATAGATGCCTGGGTTTTGTACCTGAGACCTAGCTGTCCTTCAAACAAGATACTAAAATTGAAAGTGCATGCCTTTATTTTTTAGAAGAAAGCTTGGTAGGATCTGTAATTGTGTAGAATGCTTGTATTTTTAAGCAATGAGATAGATTTGGCCACATTTAACAAAAAACTTATCTAAGGAGCTGATTAAGTAAATTGGCAATTCTTACTGAATGTAATTCAAACTTGGATGTTAGCATTCAAAATTGGAGGATTAAAAAAAAAAACTTCAATTGAAACTTTATTTGGTTTAAGATAATTAATGAAATATATTCCAGTGGAGTGATTACCAAGCCCCAGGGTCTACTAATTTTAAGTTGTTATCATGGGGTTATAATATTGATGCTTCCACAACTTCTCTTAATTTACACATCATGTACAGCTAACTTCCACAATAG